CCCCGCCTACCCCTCCACCCCACACCCACCCTGAATAAAACTATTATTAAAAGTACTTTTTTTTTCATGTTATAGATAGATTTTTTTTTCATTTCAACAAATGAATATTTTTTTTCATGATATATAAAAGTTTTTTTTTATTTTAACAAAAAAATACTTTCTTTTCATATAAAAAAAGTATTTTCTTTTATTTCAACAAAAAAATACTTTCTTTTCATATAAAAAAAGTATTTTCTTTTATTTCAACAAAAAAATTATTTTATTTTCATGATGTAAAAAAAATATTGTTTTCACTTCAACAAAATGAGTATTTTCTTTTCATTATGTAGAAAAAGTATTTTCTTTTATATCTGTAAAATGAGTATTTTATTTTCATATTGTAGAAAGGGTACTTTCTTTTTTAACCCAAAAAAAGAGTACTTTCTTTTTAGTTATGGAACACAAATTTCAACCTTATTTTTGCGTAAAAAAATAAAGCAGCTCATTAGTTCTTTTGAGTTTGTGTGAAGTTTTAGAAGAATAATTATATTCTTGAAGACCAAACACACCCTTAATGATTATGATCTGAATGATTATGATTCAGACTTTAAAAACAAATACACTTAATGTCTGATATCTAAATAATTAAGATTCAGACCTCCGTGGAGTCCGCAAACAAATGAGGCCTTAGTTTCCGCGTGGAACGGCGCTAGCTGTAGATGCTCTACCCACTCCCTCCTTTTTCATTTTGATTTGATGATATATATTTAATAATTCGCTGTTAAACCCAAATTATATTTCTATTTTAAAAAATAATATACGTATCCACTATGAACATGTACATAATTAGCTGGCAAGAACATCGATAACATTTGTTCTTTCTATCTCTCTCTCTCTCAATTTGTTGGTTCCTCTCAAAGATCGTATCTTTCTGGGTTTTTGATCTTTCCCTTTTAATTTTAGCATATTGATTTGTTTTATTAGATCAGAATCAAAAGCTCATATTACAACCATGGAGTGGAGGCACTGTATTATTCTACTCTTTTCTTTCTCCATTTTAGCTGGTTTTGCAGCTTCAGCTTCTCTTTCAGATGGGATTTTTGTTAATGAAGCTTCAACTGGGAGGAATCTACTTCAGGCCAAGAAACGTAAGCTCTTTTTATTTATTTTTATTTTTTTTATTTTATTGCCCCAAGATTTAGTTGATAATCATCATCATTAGGAGCCAAAATTGTGGGTATTTTAGATTTACACACCTCATTGGTTAAATTTTGTACCATCTCAATTAGTTTGACCAAAGATCTGTTAACTGAGTTTTATTCTTCAAGTATAATTATTGTTGATAATAAATTTACAGAAATAGCTTTTGGGTATTCTCATATTTCAGCTTAGTTTCTGTTTTTTTAGGATTCGGGTTTGTCATTTTCCCTTTGGTTTTGAGGGAAAGAATTCCTTTGCAGTTGATAACGGACAAGGTTCTTTATTGGTCCATTATTTTCTTGGTTATGCCGTTTTTTTTTCTTTTTTCTGGTGCTGATTTGTCTTGGTTGTGCTCTTTTAGTAAAGTTTTGTTTTAAACATTCTTGAATGCCTTCTAAAATAGGAAAGAAATTTTATAAAAAACTTGCAATTGTTGTTGTTTTTCTTTTAGAGTTGTTCAGGTTATTGCAAATATAAGGGCCAAACCAAACTTTTTAGGATTTTGAATCTTCAATTTAAGAAACTTCTGACTTTGAATTTCTAGTTCTGCTAAAAGTCCTTTTAGATGTTCTGTTCAAAGGTCAATAGGCAGTAGGATGTGATCCAATCTCCCATGTATTCTCGCACAATGGAGTTTTGTATAGCATCACATCATTTGATAGAGATGTTTTTTCAATTTGTGATACTCAGATTCGGATTAACCATTAAGGATTAATGTTTGTGTTCGATGATACTCTGTTTTGTGGGCTGTGGATCTTCTTGTACGCTTTAATCATCCAGTTGCCAGATGGTCGGAAAGTGAAGTAGATTTTTGAGTATTGCAACTTAGGTGTGTTTCCATGTGGTTGAAATATCATCTAGGACTGCCTGTTATTTGGGGTTAAAATAAGTAAAGATAGCTCATCGATAAGGTGATATAATGTGTATGGTGCTACTGCATATTTTTAGGTCATAAGTGGGGAAATGAGAAAAAGTATATTAACATTTAAGAATGAACTACAACTGTGACATGGTAGATTATCCTGATTCCTTTGGATACAAAACATGATTCTTGTGAGCAACTAGATTATGAAGGTTCAGTGCCTCAACTTCTCCTGACTTCCCACAATCCGCTTGTAATATGTTGTCGCGGGTGTCACTTATCCTGTTGCTGACTTAAAAGCGATATGATCATGCTTTCCAATGGCGGAAAACATTGTTGTGCCTTAAAGGGAGAAGTCCTAAACTTCTGTTAACCTGGAAGTTGATGCCCCTGGTTGCTTGATAACTTGTCTAGCTATTGACTGTTGTTAGATGCAGAATTTTGCATGTTTGTAACTCTCTGACAATCTCTTTGCTTAAAACTTTTATCTCAAGAGCTTGAAAAGCGCCTCTTAAGACTTGCTGAAGAATGATTTGCTTCCATGTTTTATGCAGCTTGTCCTATTAGCTTCGAGTTTCAGAACTACACAGTCATCACTAGCCAATGCAGAGGACCGCAATACCCAGCCAAACAATGTTGTGCTGCCCTTGTGCAGTTCGGCTGTCCATTTTCAGACTATTTGAATGATTTGTCAAATGATTGTGCCTCAACCATGTTCAGTTACATTAATCTCCACGGGAAGTACCCACCTGGTCTTTTCGCCAGTGAGTGCAAAGGTGACAAAAATGGGCTAGAATGCCCTGGATTAGCACCTTCAGAATCTGCCAATGCTAATAATAGTCACATGAGCTGTAGACTATCGCCAATGCTGATGATTGCAACAGCTCTTATGGGCTTGTTATTGTTGCTTCTCTGAAGATCCCTGAAGATTTTGTTGTAGTTTCTGTATTCTTTTTGTGTCAAATATTGTTTGAACTTTGGATCTTCTACCACGTGCCACGGTACCACTGATTAACGATAAAAAAAATGAAATTCATTCAAAGGCTCCTCTTGTAATTCTTTATATATTACAACAGCAGTTAATTGCTGATACTGTGTATTGAAAGAGGCTCTCCAGGGGTGGTGTTAAAGATTATTTCATTTTGTTGTATTTTCATATGGGCATTCTTAACTCTCCTTTTTTCTTCTTTTTTCCTTTTCTTGTTCAAATCCCGGCAGGCCGAGGGACAGGGCCGAAGGGAGAGCATGGTTGACGGGTTCGGACGAACCCAATAATTTTTACTTACACCATGAATTTGTATTAGAATATTCCCTAAATATGTATAACTGTTTAATTGTGAACTCAGTAACAAAACGAGCTATGGATTCAATCACAAGTTTAGAACCCATAAACTTCAAACTCTGCTGGGGGAGGATTAGGGTGTGTTTAGATCTTTATTATGCATACATGAAACATATCCATTGAGTTCACTGACAATCTCTCTGTTGCCGTACTTGTCATTATTACGATAAAACATTAACAATATTGCAAAGAGAAGTTTGACATTTCTGCTTGTATTTTAACTATTGGAATTCCTTTTTGCGCCCCATTAGTGGGATTTTAGTGGGTATATTGTTGTTGAATTCCTTTTTGCACTAGTATTTTTTCTTTCCAAAGATGGGGATATTATATTTAACTTAGTATTTCTTGTAGAAAACATGGTTGATATGTATTCGCATGTGCTATCGTGTTGTTTGTTTGGATAAGGTTTCTGTGGCTGAGGATACAAGATTGGAATATATAAGCCAATCCTAGGAGCATCAAACACAAAGCTCCCTAAGTAGAACACTTTAAGCAGTTTACAATAAATGGCTGCTGCTTCCCTAAGCGGCCCAGTGCCCAAGCAAAATATTCTAGAATTGCAAAATGGAAGAGGTAATAAAATCCCAAGCAGTGTTCTGTTGCTCCAGATGTGTCGCCAAAACAAGGAAGTCAAACAATTACATAGCCAACTGATTATTTCAGGATTGATTCGTCGCCCTCCAAATGCAGCAAGGCTATTAGAATCCTATGTTGGAGTGTCTGAAACTGATGATGCATTGTTACTTTTTAAATCATCAATTCAATCACCTGATACCTTTGCTTATAATGTTATGATCAGAGGTCTGATTCTTAGCAAGCGGCCTAAGGGGTCACTTTTGTTGTATGAACAATTATTATCAGAGGGTCTTGTACCAGATAGCCATACCTATACTTTTGTTCTCAAAGCATGTTCTCATTTGAAAGCTATTCTTCAAGGTAAACAAGTACATGCACAAATTATCAAGATTGGCATAGGACCAAATACCCACGTTTGTAGCTCTCTAATTTCTATGTATTCCTATGCTGGAAGCATGGAATCTGCAAGACAAGTTCTTGATGAATATTATGAGGATAATAATGACATTTGTCCCCTTAACTCCATGATTACCGGTTATATGAATGAGGGCCTTGTGGAAAAGGCTGAAGAAATCTTTGATACAATGGAAAATAAGGATACTGCAACTTGGAGTGCAATGTTATCAGGGTACACTAAAAATGGTATGCACGACGTGGCACTTGTCACCTTTCAGAAAATGATGAATTATAGAGTTCCACTGAATGAATCTTCACTTGTGTGCACTCTATCAGCCTGTGGAGCGTTGGGAGCTTTGGATCAGGGAAGATGGATACACACGTATATCATAAACAAGAGAGAAATTGTAATGAGTGCCAATCTTGGTACTGCTTTAGTTGACGTGTATGCCAAGTGTGGGTGCATTGAATTTAGTTATCAGTTGTTTAAGAATATGCCACAGAGAGATGTTGTAACTTGGGGAGTGATCATTTCAGGTTTTGCAACACATGGGCAAGCCAAGAAATGCTTTCAACTATTTGATGAGATGATTGCGTCCGGAGTTGAGCCAAATGGAGTCATCTTTGTGGCTATCCTCTCTGCCTGTTCTCATGCAGGGCAAGTCGGACAGGGATGTCACTACTTCAACCAAATGGTGTATCAGTTCGGAATTAGACCATCCATTGAGCATTTTGGATGCATGGTAGATCTTCTTGGCCGTGCTGGGAGGCTTGCAGAAGCAGAACAAGTCATTTTATCGATGCCGGAAGAACCTAACTCGATTGTATTGGGCGCATTGCTTAATGCTTGTCGAATTCATAATGATGTTGAGAGAGGGAGGTATTTTATTCAAGCGGCTAATCAATTTGGAACCTTCACCTGATCGATATAAATTAGCAGCATCTCTGTTTGCTAATAATGGAGAAGGGTACGAGATTAAAAAGTTGGTCAAGGATGAAGATTTGGTAGCTAGATGTGGCTTGAGTAATATTCAGGTGGATGGGGTGGTTCACGAGTTCATGGTCAGTGATATCGCGAATAACAGGGCCCGAGATATCTACGAGGCATTAGGAGGATTAGTAGATCAATAAAGCTGGTGAAGTCATTTGATGGTTAGACTTCTGTGAAGAATGTGAGATTCAAAATTCTGTAGGAAATAAAATGTGTTACTGGATAAGACTATAAGGCCTATAAAGACACAATCTATCAGGTTTAATTTCAGCAGAACAAAAAGAATAAATCCAGTGCAGTCACAAATATTGCCAGCTCGCTTATACATCAATATAGGAAAACGTAGCTGAAGGAAAAGATAGCTGCTGATTATGACAAGCGATACCAACATGGTAATTGACACTCTTCCACAGCTGCTAAGCGGCCACAGAAGATAAAAGTTCCATGATGAAGGAGAAGGGCATCCTTTAAGCAGAATAAAGCAAGATGTATGCGTGCAGTGCAGCAGAACGTAATCGCAGTACCTGCAGAAATATTAAAAGGACCACATGATTGCAACACGGGGGTTGAGAACATAGTTGCAGTTGCATGGATCTACTCCCTGCAGTAGATGGGGGCAACAGCTCAAAAGCATCACGACCGTACTATAAGGGAAATCTCGTATTCATATAAACGTAGCGACTTTAAAAAAATAAATCAGTGATACCAACAAGATTTCCTCATTAATGTGTCCACGACATCATTAATTCCACCAAGAAATGAAGCATCTGAAAATCCAAGCCAGTTCTGCAAGTGTCTAACCAAAGACGAGCGATTTTATCAATACATATCTTTGAAAAAGGTGCTCCATTATTATAGTCTTCATGTCCAACTTACGGATATTCTCACTCCATTTAGAGCTACCTCAACAATCTAAGTTTTGTACATCATTTGCTTAGCAGTTCCATTAGCACAACTGAATGACATTGCTTTAGTCTGTATAAATGATGTACAGATAGCCTTATATTTGTATTTAACAATGAGACAATATAGTAGTTGATCTTCAACCATGAGGCACATCAAAATTCTTAATCTTTAGCATACCACCTGTAGTGCCGCTCACATTCACCATATAAACTTGCGTCTTGACCTATTCTGAAATTGCTTTTTCATCACACACCAGGAAGTGGGGAAGGTGCTCAACTGTAGTAAACAGAACATGTAATTTGTATCATAATCAAGTACATAATAAAAGTTAGTTTGATGACGGCAAGAACAATTTATTTCATGATCAAGTACTGGCTACAAGTACACATTTTCTTCTACACCAACTCCCCTTAAAAGAAGAGATCACAGCCAGATGAAAAGTATGGATTTTTTTATATATATTTTTAAAAACAACTTAACCAAGAGAAAAGCGAAAGAATTTTACATCTTGACTCAAGCAGGTAGAGTGACTTCACATTTAAATTGCAATTTTTTAATGACGAATGCATTTGGATACGATTTCCACCTGAATTAAGAAATTAACTAATTTTTCAATTCAAGACATCGTGTCAAAGTCAAGTTTTTTGATTAGCATGAGTGAAACTACCATGTCAAATTATGCTCAGAAAGATTTTATGGTAGCTTACATTGCCGATCAGTTTAGCCCCAAACCATGCAGAATCTACGCCATATGGCGGAGGAAGCACTCTGATTCCATTGCTCATGTGTGGGGGAAGAATTCCACACACATCCTTCTCTAATCTTTCTGCAATAAAAGTTTAGAAGGAACATCAGTTGTTTCCTTGAAGATTGGATTTCTTCTTTACTTCTTCGGTTAAAGCTCCGCTGTTTTTTTTTAATTAGGTATAACAAAAAGGATAAAAACATGATTCCATCAGATACATTTCTAGGGAAAAAGGAGCAAAAGTTGCAATTCACCTGCTAATCCAGGCAAACATGCACTTCCCCCAGCCAAAACTACTGTTTTGTACCAGCTATCGTCAGCCATTAATTCAGCATCCTGGCAGTGCTCCATGCACAGTGCCACAGCACTCTGCAAACCCATAGCACGCCTGAAACAAGACCACAAGATCTACTAATTTTCCATACCACAGATCCTTGTTCTTTTGGGGGGCAACTGGGAGAGGGGAGGGGGGTTGAATTTTGTTTCACCATTTACATCCACAGACCACCACTTTTTCTAAACAATATGAGTGAAGAAATTGACATCATCAGTTAACCTCAGTACAGTGTAGCCTCAAAATGATAATACCATATCTAGAATCATTTAGTATAAGTACTCTTCCCAATTTAACACCCTGCCTCCACCCGCCAAGATTAAAATATCTCTCTCCGTTGAACGTTCCCATTTAAGAAAATAAGTTTAAAGAAAGACCCGAATATAATAGGGTGCCACTTGACTACATAGTCCACATGCACTGTCATATGCAGATCAACTCCAATCTTTTAAAGGACGTGATTCCAATAAGGAGTGGCAGTCTTGTATTATTTTTACTAGAAGGCTATTAACCTGTCCCAACGACCACCTTATCGTCTTTAACATTACACCTAAGGGAAGTAATTGTAAAGGGGAGTTGTTCAATTATTCTTAGTTTCTTATTTCTTACTAAAGTTCCCAGAATAAGACAGCATGGACGTACATTCCTGCAATTCGAGGCTGGAACAGAATCTCTCCTGTTTTAAAGCGCTCTTCTGAAAGCGTAAACCAACCTTCAGACGCAATCTGGAAAGAAGCTTTGGTATCTTTGGATATCTCAGCTTCATAATCGAGTGCGACATAACAAAGGTTCTGCAATACCAACCAAACAGATCTCAGAAAATATACCTGAAAAAAAGTTATTAAGAAATAAAAAAAATAAAAATCTAACTCTCATGCAGCTAGTCTTGTCAAGTACTCAAGTCTATGTTTGATCAAAGGTCAATAATAACAGAATCTAACAATGGTTTGTGTTATTAAGCTAAATAGCTTGTTTATTCAACTTTTGAATAAACAAAATACAGTGAAGAAAAAGTGAAAGTGAAGCAGAAACTCTTGAATCTTCAAATTGTAATCACGTTCATGATGTTTTGAAAAGCTTAAACTTGGATAACTTGACAAACCTTACATTGATTATAGTAATTCGACCATATGCAGTAAAGAAGAAAGTCACACAACCAAGTTACACATTTAACATGGTTTATTGAGGTTATCAACTGCTAGTCCATATGTAGCAGTGCTGCCAGCTACCAATCAACAGGTGAAAAAGTATTACTAAAAGAACAAGCACTTCAAAAGATTAGTATCTAGATGTGGCATTTAGAGGACATGCCAGTTCAAAACTTTATACAAATCGAAATGATTTCCAGTACCAGAAATTTTACCAAGACTCATCTGATTTGATTCAGGAACTGTTGACTTGCAAGGCAGAAACAGTACAATTGTGCATGTCTAGGTCAAACAACCTCCCTTCCCACCCTATTTGTTTAACGACCAGAAAGCTGAATACCTCTTTTAGTGCTCGCACAGTGTAAAGTGATCCAAAATAAATGTTCTTCTGTTGCATCTGCTCCTTAAGGAATCCTGTAAGCTTCAATGCTCCAATTCCCACAACTTCTACACCCACCTGGTGCATGACTTTACCATGAAGAACTGCAAAAGACCAAAAAATAGCTATACATAAACTACTGAAACAATGTGAGCAAACTGCAACCATAAGCGACATAAAAGCATACATGATACAACATACCTGTAAGTCAATCACGAAGAATATTATTTAAATCATCAGAAAAATAAAGAAGTGGAGAATACAAATTTTCTTCCTGAAATATCCTACTAACGACTTTGAAAACAAAAATAGTGTCACAGTTCAAAGAATTTTAACGAAATTTAGAGTTCTACCACGACAAGTTTATAATAAAGTCAACGGACTGAGTCAAATAGGTGTGGTACATGAGGAAAAGTCTTACTTGGAACAATAGATGTTTGGTGAAACCCAATGTTGACTACTATTCCTGAAACTTTCCTCGCAGCAAATAAAGCTAAAACTGCCTACAATATTTGAAAGAAAGACATTATGACACCATTAAGAAATTGATAACAAATTAACACCAAAAATTAGGAAGAATCTTTGCAACGTGTAATACAATCTTAGAGTGAAATATGCAGACGTTTTCCAAGCAGTTCGTGACATTTTCCCTTGATATATTTCAGGCTGACGCATCAGAATAACATATTGAGATCTGATGTTCAAATTCAAATATGACAGTAGCAATATCGAACTTTTAGATTATTTATCTAATAGCTTAAATTTATAGTATGCAGGACAAGACAGAGAGATAAACTTATATCTGTATTCAAACATTAGTCAAAAATTAGAGTCTGATTAGCAGGAACACTTTTTATATCAAGAAAAGCAATCGTTAGACACACTAGAGAAGCATTAATGTATTTAGATAAATATGTAATGTGTAAGGATCCTGGTATACTTGCTGAAATTACAACATTGAGCTTTAAGATGGAACAAGATAGTCTAGACAAAATCCCAAAGTATGTTAACAGCAATTGGGGCTCAACATAAGAAAATCAATTCATTTGAGAAAATCTTTCTACTTAGAATAAAACATAAGACAGATATAAAAAAATAATGTAATCATATCCAACGGAACAAATACAACACTTCACCAAGCACCATTAGCCGTTAAAATGTAGTTCCATCGTCCCAAGGTGTCCATCATCTTAAAACACAGTTTCCAGTTCAAAAGTAAGTTATGTCTATGTTTCACCACTTTCAAAATCTAATAACCAAAAAGGTAAACATAATATTTAATGACCATCTTAGCAGCAATTTTTTTCTTATGTCGCGCTCATCCTTCTTAAGTGCAATTCGCAACCTGTGAGTTGTTTGATCAATAATAAGTCCATTCATCTCCTTCATAAGGTATTTTCATCATGGGCAACTGGTTATATTTGGATATCTCTACAGCTATTTTGCACCCTGTTCCCCATGTTAATTAACCATGTTTAATCTTAGCAATTAACAATACAAAGCATCAATCACTCATTAGTTGGCCGAATATGTATCAGATATGACAAGTGAAAAGCGAGAAGAGGGGGGTGTTGACAGAACAAAGTCTCATAAAGGAGAAAATAAAAGAAATACTACTGTCATTTTATATAATTAAAAAAGTTTCAGGGATGGGAAATTACTGCAATTAGCAAAAGTAGTCAAATATATTAGGATGTGGCTATACTGGTATGTATTAAATTGGTGGTAGTAGTACTAAATAGTCCAATGCTAAGCCACGAAAGAAAAATCCAATAACCTTGTCCAGTTCTTCTTTTATTCCCTCTTCCCTCTAACTTAACTCTCTTCCGAGTGTAGATAAAACCATAATTGTCTTCTGTGCACAGACAAAACCATTAGTAAAATTCAAAAAGCTTTCTTGGAAGTGGCAATTCTCTTTTGAAGATAAAGGCTGTACTAATTACTTCTCTCTTTTCTTTCGAGACTAGGACATGCCACACGGAAAGTAGGGCGAATGTCTGTCTAAGGAAAAGGCACATGGTAATTGTGAAAGAAGACCATAAACAGATATTGCGGCATTTTACACTTGCTTCGGGAAGGAATAGATTCTGCTTTATATATGTCTTGTTGATAAATGTCGCCCAACAATGACAGAGATGCTTTCTTCTATCTTATTTCCTCAGTCAAATTAAATTAAGTTGTTCTGAGAGCCTTTTTTTTTAATATATAAAACTTCAACCACCTCTGAAAATCCAAAAGAAGTTAGAGGATATGAATAAGTACTACCTGGTTGACAGCACAAACGGCAGGAACATTCATGTCAAATAATGCAGAATGGATAGATTCTTTTAACTGCCTTCTAGCTGCTTTATCACATTCAGTATCTGAAAATGACAGGTATAGACAAGTTAGGAAAAAAATAAGAGATTAAACATAGTGATGAGCCTTGACTGCCCAAGCACGCCCCAGCTAGCACACCAAGAGCAACTGAAAAAAATCTTACCGTGCTCTAAGTTTCACTTCTCACAGTTAAAGATTCAATTGACTAAATATAGAATTCAAACCTATCTAGCACCTTACCCTCTAGCTCAAATAAAAGAATGTTGAGAATAGAGTTGCCTGGGCTGATGCCCCAAGTAATGGACATATATACATATATTGTAAAATGATATTCGTTCTCTAAACAAATTGAGTTGTTGGCATGAATAGAAATTTGATGGAGTTTTCAAGAACACTGAAATAGAAACTGACCTTCATAGTGGCAAATTGGTATGGAGACAATGATTGGCTGTGTTGAAGTTTTCACCTGCATCCTGCTTAGAGTCCAGAACGCAAAAGATAGAAGTTTAGCAATTGGTCAAGCGGAGAAAGGTTTCTACTTTTAAGTGCTTCCATTGACAGTGGGTCTCAGTGACAAGCTCATATCTTTTCTAATTTTGGCTCGTAGGAAGGCTATATGTAACATTCTGAAATAGATGAGAGTTATTTTAGTGAAACTCTGGAAGTCATCATAAATCCAGCCTTTTCTACCTTTTGCTCCTTAGTGGGTAAAGCCAGTAGTTTATAATATAGATAGAGGAAAGCTTGCCATGATTAATATGATGAACAACAGGATATGTGCCAAAAGGAAACATAATGATACAGAAAGTATGTCCATTTTACATTGTACAGATTAAATTTTAAGCTGACTAGGATTCTTCTTTGGCAACCAAACATCCATATTACAATCAATTAATAATGTCTAGAATAACCTGTAGAGAGTCCAGATATTATGGTGTTAAAAAGCATTTTAAGAGAAGCAAATTTATTTTGAGAACCAGAAACCTGTTTAGAGTACTCAATTATGGATGTTGGTTTAGGTGGCCTTCAAAAAATCATCGAAGCCTTCTAAGTGTGTTGTCAGCTGGGAGCACTGTAAAATTACAGCGGAAAATGAACAGAATACAAACCTGGTGTATATTGTTGAAAAGAAGTGCCTCAATCTAGAATACATTGGAGATTCAATGTTACCAAATTCCTGTAGATGAGACAAGTTTTCAGGAAGAGATACGGTAAGACACTGTGGAGCACATAGAAGATAACAAATAGTTCGAAAAACAACAGGTCTCAAATGTGCAAATGATTTTCACAAATTAACAACTAACTGTTAACTCGAATGAAAGCCCACCAAGAATGTCGCTGATCTTCCTGATGGAGCACTATACTTACTCCAACCAAATTTGCAATAGCCTGACCCCCCTTTTGATGAGAAAAATAAGAAAAGATGAATAAGCTTGAAGAAATCACTTCTCTATGTAGTATTCACGTAGTACACAGTGATATTAGAATTTATCTAAAATGTGCAGATTGAATCAGCAAAACAGAACAACTAGAGCATTGTGCTAACTAAAAGGCAGAAACATAACCATTGAAAGGTACATACCATCAATAACGATAGCACCAGGTATTTGAGCACGTTGACCATAAATACTCATGAATGACAAGTCCGGTACTGAATTTGGAAATGTCCTGCAATCATATACACCTCATCAAGCCCAGCTACGAAGAGGACTCCTACTGACTACTTTATCACTGATGAGTTGCAACATATTGTGTGTGTTTACTTTCTACTTTTATGATATCGGACTGAGATGGGCTTAAATGGAGCAACATGGATAGTGTGGATTCAAATAGTCGACTCCAACTTGTTACGAATTGAGGCTGAGTTGTTGTTGTGGTGTTCTTCCCTTCTAGATGAAAGTCAGTTTACATGATATTAGTGATTCCTTTGTTTGCTAGTTTTAAAGCTTCTTAAGACTGGTGGGAACACAGGGATGTCACCAAAATGTGACAATTGACAGACTAAAGAGACTAATAGAATAGAAGCAAAATAACTGCTGATATAAGAATGTTCGCTACATCAAGCTGCAACCTAGAAATTTAAAAGTGCAGTCAGAACATAGGGCCACACCTCCTGATAAGGTTAAAGAATGAGCTCAAGATGGTATTGTTTTTCAAATTATCAATGCGAAAATTTCATGCAGTTTTGATGACATTAAGTTAAGCTTACAATATCTGGAAGCTAACTGCTAGTTGAGTGCGTTACAAAATATTCATTAATCAAAGGTGAAACCACGCAATTTATTAATTATCATTATTACATATAGTACTTTATTGAGCAAATGTTCAATGATGTACCTTTTATGAAAAATACGCCTTCCATCCCAAGTTACATGAAATTCTCTCTACTTTCGTATGTCTCAAAATTTTTAACCATTCAACTGATATAATTAATTTTATTCAACTTCACCAGTTTCAAGATTCAAAATCCTACGACTACTCAAATTCAAACTTTGATGTCAATGTTAAACTATCAAATTAAGTTTTCAACAGTCAAGATACTATTCTACTTGTTGGGAGTGTGTTAGCAAAGTACCACATCGAAAGTAGAAATGAAAAATAAGCTACTTATAAGGGGTTGGATACTCTTAATGGTGTGAGGTCTTTTGGGAAAAACCGTGGGGGCACCATGTTAAGAGTATCTTTGGGCCGTTTTAGCCCAACACTACTAACACATATGCAAGTTGTATTAAAATCTCTCCAAGCCCAACCACATGATTTGCATAAAGCAGGATAGAGAAAGTAATTTCTCTTATTATGCTACACGTATAAGCATTTAGCTAAATAAAACGATAGTAGCTTTTAGTCATCCTTTTATCTAAAATCATGCTGAATTGAGCATAAGTATAAGCCTCTAGAAATATCTTGTCACCAAATCTAGGTGGCTCTTATTGTTAGACCCCTGACAAAGCTGATCGGCAAGCGGCACGGCAGTGGCAAGAATTTTGGCATGATGGCCTTGCCATTGGCCTATGTGCGAGGGAAAATCAACATGCAAGACAATGCGGGGGTGTTGTCAATGGCAACAAACTGTTGCTAAGCAAGTGAAACGGACTACACTTGTATTTGAGGGCTAAGGTGCGACGGACTACACCAAAGCAAAAGGGGGCTGCGTACAAGCAAGGCCAAGACCTTGACGGAACTAGGCGGGCTGGATGGGAGCTTGACAAGCCAAAACGGGAAAGACCTCGGCGCTAAAGTGAGGCAGCTTAGTGCCAAGGCAGTGGCATTGGCAATGTGGTGTTGCCATGACTTAGGTGAGCGGACTGGCACCTAAGTTAATTGTGAGCAAACGACTTGGCAAAGGGAAGGGCATCAAGGCTTGGTGACTTGATGTTAAAATCAGTATGGGCAATGGGCGGACTTGATCAAGTAGGGGCGACTTGACAAGGACAAACAACTGTGGCAGCGAATGGGCGTGCGGCTAAGTCAAGGGTGACGAGCTGTGGCGATGGCATTGAGCGGGAGCAGTGTCAAAGGCTAAGGCTGGGCGCAAAGTCAGCCTTAGGCGTGCAGCAGCTGGCCAAGAAACACGCACATGCAGTGCACATGAAGTGGTTTTCAAGTGTGCTGTGCACATGCCAAGCAGTTGGCGGTTACAACCCATGTCCAAGAGTTGCTGATTAAATAGGCTGAGTCTTTGCACGTTTTGGGGGCATGTTAGAGACATGTTCCCCACGTTTTGATCATGGGGATCACTTCCTATCAGTTGGGGGATGTCAACTGAACATAGGAGACTCTTTGGGGCTGACTACACTATATATATGTGTGTTAGCAGCCTTAAAAACGGGCTAAGTACCTAGGGAGGGAAATGTCTGAAAATAGGCATAGGGTTGTCTATTTTGTGGCTTGAGCATGGCAAAATATGTGCCATTGCCTTGCCAAATGAGTGGCAGCACGAGTAGCCTTAGGCAGGGGCTTTTATAGGGCTAATTCGTGCAAGTGTAGGCCATTTTTGTGAGTTGGTGCCTGCCAAGGGTGGCAGCACCTTGCCTAACTCGAGATTTTCCTTTGTAATTTGATTTATTATAAAAGGTTGGGAAAGGGTTCCCGTAAATCTGTGTTGCCTTTGTTTTTCTTGTTGCCTTTAAATTATTCTAAGTGTTGAACCTCGAAACCAAACGAAAATTGGGTAAGGCTGAGGTCAAGTGGGGACTTGACTGCCGCACATCGGGCAGCATTTTCGGCGGACAGAAATTGCCGGTGTGACACTTATCCAGATTTAGTACAAAGACAAGACATAGCAAAATTCTGATAGGAAGGGCAATGTTGCCATCAGATGTAGTTCACTCAGTTCAGGTTTAGCATAAACACAAGACAGAGGCAATTCTCATGAAGACACAATTTTTCCAAATTCAATGTTGGTTATGAGTAGCATGGTATACACGAAGAGGCATAAATAAGAACATAAACAGATTCCATAGTCCTGTAAAGTCCTTCCTTCAGCTGTTATTTCGTTCATAGTTCATCATATACACCTACTACAATCTAGATACCTTTTCTTTTTCATCTATCCCTTTCGATAATAATGTGTTCTTTTCAATGTACTTCAAGCGCAAGTTGAGTTATAAATTGAGTATCTATTTCAATTCAAAATAACAATTGAAACTCGCTAAATAACAGTGAAAACAATTTAACGATATTACCGAAGAGGACCCAATCGCAAGTGAGTTTCTGCGAAAAAAATAGAATCCCAAGGCTCATGCTGATTTTGAAGAAAATAAATCCACAGCCGATTATCGGAGACAATGAATTTCCACGTTTTACACACAGAGCTCAGCTTCGCGGACTCTTTTGGCCCTAAAATCTTCAGAATTTGAATAAATATATCCAACGGTATCCGATCAAATTCACCAGTTGACGCCGTCCGTATATACATCATCTGCTGGAAGCGATCGGAGGAGTTGGCACTCGAATTCGAGTTGGAGTTGGAGTTGGAACTCGAACGAGTCGATACCGATTCCCATACCTTGCGAAACAACGTGGCCATGGTTCTGATTCTTCCCACTAGGGGATATCAGTTTTAGCTGAATAGTGTCCCATAGAACTAAACCAAATTTGACATTTGCGAACGATCCCTTTGATCAACACGTGGATACTCCTTCCGCCTGTAATATTTTTACTGTAGTAGCTCAAAATTATCTAGTGACCTAGTTATGAATTATGAGGCATTTTAAACATTTTATTCCTTGCAAATATTAAAACTTAAAACATGTATCAAAGTGAACGGACATTTTTCTCATTTTAAAACATCATTTGTGTTATGATAAATAAAACATTATGGTGGATGTCTACTCTTCTTCCATGATGATCTTCTTCTTTCATGATCTTCTATCTCAAATGCTTAATGACATATTCAATGACATATTCAATGACATATTTTATATGTTCAATGACATATTCCATGACATATTTTCTTCACNAGTGCTGAATTTGCTGTGGGAAGACGGACAAGAAATGCAATGAGAAATCAAAAACGTTGCACTTGAGGGCAAGGACAACGTAATTCTCAAAGGGGTGCTGAACTTGTGATGTCTTTGCAAATGGCAGCATGTGTTGGGATCTATTCGACGAGGGCGTCGAATTCAACTGGTTGGGGTGGTTTGTTAGACCCCTGACAAAGCTGATCGGCAAG